CAAACTCTGCTTCAGAGAGCACAACTCAGATGGGCTGGCCATGCTGTTCGAATGCAAAATGTACACTTGCCAAAAAGACTATTTTATGGAGAACTCACACAGGGAAAATGTTCACATGGTGGTCAGAATAAGCAGTACAACAAAACTCTCAAGGTCTCTGTTAAGAACTTTGGGATTGACTTATGACATGGGAGACACTGGCACAGGACTGCTCAGCATGGCATGCCCACATCAAAAAAGATGCTGTACTCCATTAACAAAGTAGAATTGAAATAGCTCAAGAGAAATGCAAGATAGGCAAACTTAGAAAATCCACCCCAGACTATTTGTGCCCAACCTGTGATAGAACATTCTGAGCTTGTACTGGTCTGATCAGCCACAGTCGGACACACTGTGACTTGACTCTAGCACAGTGATGTCATTTTGGTCCTCTTCAAAAATGAAGAACAGCCAACAACCAACAACCATTCAAAGTTATGATTATGTAAAATGTGGTAATTGGTTCCAGCCCCATGAAAATATGCAATGTGAATTTGAATAAAATGACCACATCAGGGGATTCAATATTCTCACTAATCTAGATCTAACTGTTTAAAGTTGTTGTTGTTGTTGTTGTTGTTAATCTCTGGAAGGAGATAGGAAGAATATGAGCAACATCCCAATGATGTCAGACAGCTTCATACAGTATGCACATATATACCCGATCAGAAGCCAGAGAGCCTCTATAATTGCAAAGTACTCTGGAATAAGTATTCATCTACATACAGCTTCCCCACCAAGATCGCCGCTGTTCAAGGTAGAAACTTTGAGAGCAAATTACTTAAAGAAGCGCTGACCTCGGCCAGAATCCAGAAGTCTAGCATTTTATACCTTACCACCATCTTACAACTTGAAAGCATTAACTCAATACTAGACATATTCAGTATGAGAGAATGCTCTTATAGTCTATTAAACAACCGTTAATTTCTAAGTAAACTTGCCAAGAGTGGGAGTGGCATATGCTTGTAGCCCCCATGCTAGGGAGACTATGGCTAATGGACCACTTGTGCTTAGGAATTCTGAGCTGTAGTGAGCAGGGCAGGACATCAGGAGGGTAGAATTTAGGGTAGAATTCTACCCTAAATAAAGATCCAATCTGCACACTTCTCATAGCCTAGAAGATTTTTGACCTCCAAGGTGAAAGGAAAATCACCTTTCTCTTTAAGACTCACAGTCCTTCTTCTGACCATGCATTATAATAGATAAATAAATCCCATTCCTGCCAGCAGAATTTCATTTCCCAGCCAGCAATTTTTCCATGTCAAAGAACTACCAAAGGTTATATTCAGAACATCTACTGGGCAAATGACCATTTTAACAATCTTGAATTCATTCATAAGATAACTGTTTCTTCAAATATTATAGGAAAAACTCAAAGTTTACTTAGGCTCATGAGATAAAGGACATCACCAAGTTTTATGAGAAGTCATTTATAACTTATTCATACTTAACATTGCCATCATTGCAAAAAATTAAGGGTCATGCTAACTAAAAATAAGGATAACAAGTATGACAACTCAATTTAAATATTCACCAGTCTGGGAAGGGTATTGCTGAACCGTCTAAGTCTAAGGTATGAATGAAGACTTAAGAGAATTTTCACTTTGCAGTGGGCTGAAAAAATTTAGCTAAGTAAAAAGGAATATTCAAAAAGTAAATTCATATACATTACTCTATTAAATATTGTGCATTACATTTCATGCATACATTGTTTTTATTTGGTAGGAAACTTATAGACAGGATTGTAATTGGCTAGTTTTCAAAATTTGGTTTTACTGCTAAATTGTTATCTGCCAATCCTTTTTGTTGTTGTTGTTGACTCATGGCCAACTGCTGGTGGCTTCATTTGGGGTTTTCTTGGCAAAGATACTAGAGTGGTTTGCCATTTCCTTCTCCAACTCGTTTTATAGATGAGGAACTGAGGCAAGCAGTGTTAAGTGGATTGCCTAGAGTTACATAGCTAGTAAGTGTCTGAGGCTGGATTTGAGCTCAGAAAGGTGAATCTGCCTGACTCCAGGCCTCTATTCACTGTGCCATCTAGCTGCCCTTGCCAATCCTTAGACCCCATATAACGATTAGTCTTGGACTGTAGTGATAAATATGAGCTGATCCTTAGAACCTCTATTTATCTCTACTGTCCAAGCCTAATCATCATTATACAGCTTTACATTGTTTTATAGCTGTGTGCTGGACACATAAAAAACAAAAGATATACCAGTCCACAATTAAAATAAACTTCATGTCTATCCATGATAAACCAATATTTAAGCTAGTTACCATATTTCACTAATGAACTGGTTGTCAAAGCAACCAAATCATTACATTCCTCATTACTCAAATTTAAATTACATAGGATCTGTTTTAAAATTTGTAAATAAACCCTTAGCTATGGGATCACACAAAGAAAAACAAAAGCTTGGTGATATAACAAAGATTATCCATAATGTGGGTCTACACTAACTGGCAATAATTTGGTGAATTTGGGTGAGGTAGATCATGAATTCTAATTGATAGTGGCAAAAAGTGAGAGAAAATGTGGCATTAGTGGGAAAAGGGCCAGCCACAGAGTCACCAGAGGTTATGAGCAAAATCGTCACCGAATGACTTCTACGAGAAGTGAAGCTATAAGGCCTTTTTGAATGCTGCTGCAGCCAATGAACGAGCCTCCTCTTTAGTTAGCATATGGTTAGACAACTGGAACCATGTCCATCCATGTTTCACAGTCTCTTCGAAAGCATTTCCATTCCATGTTATCATAACTCTCCTGGAGACATGCTCCTTAGGCTCCTCCATGTGGAGACACAAAATCTCTATGACACAATCTGGAGAGATCCTTGTCAAAATTAAAATTTTCTTTAAAAAGTGCTCAGAATACAGTGAAAAACTGTTTATTGTTATCAGGAGATGAAACCCAAGATAAAAGTACAAAAAGCAAATAAATAAGATTTACCAGTAAATAATGCTGGTTACTTACTTACCAGTAACAGCCATGAGTCAGGGAGGAAGTGGAAAGGGAATAACTTCACCAGTAGCAGCCAAAGTTAGACAAAGCAGAAAATTCTATCCTAGCAGTTCTCTCCTTAAGGGGGTCAGTGAGCCACTTAAGGATCCAACCACTCATGATTATATTCAGTACAGGACAGCAGCAGCTTCCACTTACAAATGGTTGACTGCTGGCACTGCAATGCATGCACGTCATCATCCTAGTGCTCCTTTCTTTTCTGTGGAGCGCCTAAATTCCCAAGGTTACTGCCTCTATGCCCCTAAGTAGCTTCTGTCTCTCATCATCCTTTAGTCCCTCCTTCAAAATGAGAAAAACGACACTTCCCATCTTTCCAATAAGGGGCTACACTAAGGAAGCACAGTTTGTCACTTTACAGGATCATCTATGTACTATTACTGATGATAGCTAGCATTTATATAGTGCCTACTATGTGCCAAGCACTGTGCTATATGCTTTACAAATATTATTTGATTTGATCCTTACAACAACCCTGGGAGGCAGGTGCTATTATTATCTGCGTTTTACAGATGAAGAAACTGAGGCAAACAGAGCTTAAGTGATTTGTCCAGGGTAATATAGCTATTAAGTATCTAAGATTGGATGTAGACTCAGGCTTTCCTGACTCCAGGCCCAGTGCTCTATCCACCTTGCCACCTCTAAACTAGATCTTGAATATGCCGGTATTTACTTTTTCAAAACACACTATAGTGGAAGTTCATGGTTATGAATATAAGCCTTGGTTCTCTGACATCAAGGTCAGGAAAACCTGGGTGCATATCCTACCTCTCATATATACTGCTTGTGTGATCCTGAGGCCGAATTTGAAGTCAGGTCCTCCTGACTCTAGGGCCAGTGCTCTATCCACCGTGCTATCTAGCTGCCCCTAGTTCTATACATTTGAGGAGATTGGAGAAGACCCACTTAGGCAAAGCCACTGTTAAATCATGGAGTTAGATGATGGAAGCTACCCTTTGTCTTTTTTAGGTGACTGAGATGGGGAGTTGTGAACTTCTGATGCAGTTAGTTTCTAATGGATATCTGCAAGGAAGAGAGTGACATTTCTAAAAGAGGTGAATTTGGTAGCCTGGATTTACGCCTCTCTCCCTACCCTGCCCGCCAGTGTCCTATCCACTGTCCCACCTAGCTGCCCCCTACAGGACTTATAGATTCAACATGTTAAAGTACTGTTAATCAGCTAGATTTCCGGCATTTAGGAGGGGCAGTGGATAGAGTGCCCAACATGGAGTCAGGAAGACTCATCTTCCTAAGTTCAAATCTTACCTCAGACACTTCCCAGCAGTGTGACCCTGGGCAAGTCAGTTAACCCCGTTTGTCTCAGTTTCCTCCTCTGTAAAATGAGCTAGAGAAGGAAATGGCAAACCATTCCAGTGTCTTTGCCAAGAAAATGTCAAAAGAAGTCATGAAGAGTAGAATATGACTGAACAACAAAATAAGCTAATTTTCTTCTTGTGATTTCAAAATATTTTCTCAAAATGACTAACATAGTACTAGACTTTAAAATTGAAGAACTTTTTTAAAATTCAAAGACTTTCTGTGATTGCCTCGTGTGGAGGGATTACCCTTACTCAACAAGACTAAGATTAAAATTTAGATTCTAGGAAATGGCTTGAGGCACATGGAAGATAAGTGACTTAAAGCCAAGCAGCCTCTATTTAAACTGCAAAACCCCCAACAATACTATACACCCTTTTAAATAGTGAATGGGTAGGGGGATAAGGCTATAAAAGGCCTTGTATTGTTTGGGTTCAGAGATACTGAGCTTTAAACCAATTTTAAAAAATTATTTCACTTTGGGAAAAACCATGCATGTACCCTGGGTGACAAGATCAAGACTCAAGGGTGTGTGTGACCATTTTGTGTCTTGCCTGACTTCAGTGTCATTACACACTGTAGGCTCTGAAAAGAAAAATGCAGCTTGCCCTATGGTAATATTTATCCAACAGAAACTATAACTCTTTCTTCTGATTGACCTACTTCCATTTTAATGTCGTAGTTCTGGCCAAGGATACTCTCTATGAGATCTTTGATCATCTTGTCCACCGCTGACTGACGTTCAGACTGAAGGGAAACAATTATTTCCTCAATACACCTTGGGACTTCTCTCTCTGGCAAATGCATTTCGGGTACTTTTTTTTCGGATTCCTCGGCTTGGGGTTCTTCCTCCTTTACTGTCTGAACTTGTATCGCGGGCTCCTCCGGAACCTTGACGTCTCTGATAGGGCTAGAGATGAAACTTTTTTTCCTTTTTTTCTCAGCCTGAGAACTGTAAGAAATGCCTTCTCTGCGGGGTCCCGCCCACCTCCTTTTTCTCAGCGAGCTCTTTTCAGCCTCGTGGTCACTTGTCATAGCTTCCTTATTTATGATTTCTTCAGCATGATACGAGTTTGGGACAGAAGAAGGTTCGCTTTTCCCGTCGCGTTTTGGCAAAGGAAGAGGGAACTGAGGAGTTGGTAACCTTCGCCGAAGAATAACTCGGGGGTATCTAGACTTGTGAGGAGGAGCTGGCTGTTTAAATAAAACAACTTGTTTAGAAGTGCCTGCTAGTGAGGCAATCACTGGTTTTTCCTTTCCATGTTGATACATGTAAGCAGTATTTTTCAAATAAAATTCTTTGGGACAAAACGTCTGGTTTCTAGGTCTACCAGCAAGTGACGTCATCTTTCTGCTCTCTTTGAAGAGTAATTTACTTCCTTGAATCTTCTTTCTGGGATCATGACTTTGTTTTTCTGTGTGTTGAAGTGCAGAAGAACACGGTTCAGGTGGAACAATCTTGTCTGTAGCGATGGCCTCGTATGAACTTTCTGAACTCTGGGAAGAGTAATTATTAAAATCTCTTGGTAGAGCTGAAAAGGCTAGAGGACTCCGTTTTGATTTCGATTCCTGTACCAGCTTGAATTTAAGGAAATCTTTCCTTGTTTGTTTGCGAACCTTCTCAAGTTCCTTCAGCATCTTCAATTCTTCATCATAACTTAGTCCAAAATGCTTTGGGACTCTAGACATTTTGATACGTGTGGCCTGTAAAATAAACAAAATGCATAGCTCATTTCTATATTATTGCAGATATGAAAAGCATATTGCGGTAGAATTCTGCAATGTTCTTTGAAGCACATATTAGTATTCCATTAAATTTATACTGTTTTTATTATATAATTATGTAAGACTCTCAATGTCCACCCCTTCACAAGGATTTTGGCAGACTCTAAAAGCTGTCTTAATTCAATGGGCGTTGTCTACCCTTTTTTGGTCCTTATGTTTCTTTTGGTGTGTGCCTAACATTCAAGGGCCCCAAAACTCAATTTTGCAAAACTGAATTGTAAATGACTTCCCATTAGGGGAGACTGCCTCCCTAGATCCCCACCTATTCTTAATTTGTCCCAGATTATTAGAATAAATAAATATAACAAGGAATAAAATGTCTCATTTTTCAGGAAGGGTGAAGCTGAAACACTTCCACAAGTTGTTTTTTTTTTAAATCTCTCCACTTTGTACAATCATTTCAATAATTACTTGTGAGAATGTGATTTCTAAATAACACTATGGGTTTGGGGTTTTCTAACTTTCTTTGGATAAAGGAAGTTGCTGTAGTTGGGTTCACTTTTCTTATATAAACAATTTTCCACTGATACTTCAAGGGAAGGATTTATTTCCTATTTATCCTATAGATAGCTTGCTTTGTATATATATTTGCTTGCATGTAGTCTTCCCAGTTAGACTGTGAACTCCTTGAGGCCAAGGACTGTCTTTTACCTCTTTTTGTATCCCAGCACTGAACACAGTCCTGACCCTTAGTAGGCACTGAATAAATGTTTGTTGATTGATTGATAAGAAATCAAAGTTGAATTGTTTTATTATTGTTCTTCTCTCAAAAATATTTTTCCAAATCTATTTTTATTGAGTGAGCCAACTCCATTGGGTTCTTTTATACTCATTCAGGACTCACATTAACTAATAAAAAATGCTACCAAACTAGTAAGATTCATAACTCATAAATTCAACTTAGTAGTGAAGAGGAAAAATATCAATTTACCTTCTAAACATGTTCATATTACTTTTCATTTTTAAATACTCCCTTTTATTCTTCAAAAAACATATTATATGCCAGGTACCATCCTAAACATTTTATATCTTCATGACAACCTTGGGAGATAGGTGCTATTATTATTCATGTTTTACAGATGAGGAAACTGAGACAGATTAAGTGACTTGCCCAAAGTCACACAGCTAGTCAGAGTCTATGACTGGATTTAAGCTCAGATCTTCCTGACTCCAGGCTTAGTGCTCTATCTACTGTGCCACCTCTCTGGCCCTATAAGAGAGTAAGGGAAGACTATAGAGTGAGGGAATGTGAGTAACATATAACAAGGCTGAAAAAATAGTTTGGGGCTAAGTTATAAATTGCTTTAAAAGCCAATTAGAGGAGTTTATATTTGATCATAGAAGCAATTGGGAGGCACAGGAGTTTATTAAGCAAGAGAGCAGCATGGTCAGATCTTCACTTAAAGAAAATCACTTCATCAGCTGTTGGGAGAATGATGTAAAAAACTCTGGGGTGAGGAAGAGTAACAAGTTGGGGATAATGCCAAGGTTAAACCTGAGAGAGGGGCGACTAGATGGCACAGTGTATACAGCACCGGCGCTGGATTCAGGAAGACCTCAGTTTAAATCTGACTTCAGACACTTAATACTTACCAACTGTGTGACCCTGGGCAAGTCACTTTACCTCACTGCCTCACAAAAAAAATAAACAAATAAACCTGGGAGACAAGAGAAATAGTGGTGCCCTTAGATATAAATATGGAAATTTGGGGAAAGGGTGGTTTAGGGGCAAAGAAAATGTTTAGGACATTTTGAGATTAAGATGTTTCTGGGACACCCAGTTTGAAATGTTCAATAGGCACTTTGTGACGTGTGAATGAACTTCAGGAGAGATACTGGAGCTAGATATGTAGACATGTAAGTTGTTTACATAGAGATGATAATTGAACCCATAAGAACTACTAACATTTTCCAAACACTAGGGCTGGCTCTGGATCACTTTCTCTTCCTCTGTAGCAAATGGTCATCCTAAATGTAACTTTCAGGCATTGATGGAAGATGTTATCCTATCCTCTTAAAAGGTGATGATTTTTAAAATTTTAAGGGTTTTTATACAATATTTCACAAACTAACTCATGCCTCTAAGGTTGCAAACAAAAATTTAAAAACCTATGCCATCCCTTCACTCCCCAGAAAAACATTTAATACTTTGTGGGAAAATAAACTTTTATTTAAAAAATAAAGCATGATATTTGAAAATAAAAACAGAGAAGCTGGCTGCCAAAATTTGATGCATTGTGGTTCAATAGAACAATCTTGTATTTGGAATCAGAGGAAATGAATTCAAATCTCAGCTCTGCCACTTAATACCAGTGCATTTGTGAGTAAGTCACTTACCTCTCTGGATCTCAGTTTCCTCATCTGCAAGTTAGGGGGTTGGCCTAAATGATTAACTACTGCTAAGGTCTCTTTTTTGATCCAAAATCTATGGCTATAGTTAAAAGACTATTTCTAAAGAGGAGTTATGAAGCATTTCTAAAAGATTAATTATTTATTATTATTATTTATTAATTATTACTTAATTCACCATCCAAATTCCAAGTGCTATTGCAAAGTACAACAAAAGTAGCAGGCAGAGACTTCATCCTCCTTGTCTCTGCTTGGTTCTCCATTTTTCTGTTTCTCTCAACTTCAACTGTATCTACATAGGTTAACTTTCATCCACTTTCACAGACCGTAATATGAAAGAGAAGCAGCATGACCTAACAGCTATAGAGCCAGCCTTGGGGTAAGGAAGATTTGGGTTCAAGACACATACATACCAGCTGAATGACCATGGAGCAAGCAAGTCACTTGTCCTCCCATGCATCTAAGACAAGCTGCCCATCTTTTTAGATGGATGAAATTAGCACGCTGGGAAATCTTTAGATAGATGAAATCATAGTTTTGCTTACTTTCCACCCCCGTACAAGTACAGTTTAACATTATCATCATATGACATTTTGATATGTTCCCTACTTTTAATTTCAAATGAGTTTGCACATTACATATTTCTTTTGTGGGGAAAGAAAAAAAACTCAGTTGAAGTGCTTTTATTGTGTTCCAAACTTTGCCTATATGGGGTGTGTGTGTGTGTGTGTGTGTGTCTTTCCTTTTTAAGTCAAAATGGGGAAAAAATGGATACCCATCCCATCCCCACTGTCTACAATCACTGGCTGGCTATCAGCTCTGCAACTAGGTGCTTTATATAGGACTGCTAGATAGGTTTCAGTATTGTACAAACTCACACAAATAGTGTTAATGTAGAGGGAAAGGAAATTTAAAATCTCACAGTGCGTTCTTCCTGCTACTTTTGGCCTGTTCCCAAAACATCCTTTTCTCATTTCTTTCACTGGGGGCCTGTCTCCCTTTCCCAGGTCCCTCTACCCCGCCCTGCCTCGGTCCCCACCCCCCCCCCCCCCACCTCCCACTTCTTTTTCTCAGCTCCATCTCTGCTCCACTCTACCGGAGTGGGAGAGAATGTCTCAGCTTGACATTTGCGCTGGTTCCCCTCCCCGAGTCCTTTCATCCCTCACCCCTCTTGGGTGGCTTCTTTCCTCCTGGTGTCTCGTAGTAACAACTTGATTTGTTCTCCAGAGGATTCCCTGCCCCCAACCTTACAAGCTGAAGGATGAGGTTGTAGGGAAGAGAGGACGCGCTCCGTTACCTAGCAACCAGGTACCGTCACCTGGCAACTAGGTATGCCGCCAGCCTTCGTCTTCCCTTCAGTTAGAAGACTGCTTTTACTCTTTCCTCTTTCTCTGACCTGGGCTCTGAGCACCTTGGGTCCGAAGAGGGACTTCTGCCGTTCAGTTCGCGTGCTCCAGAGGCAATGTGGGCAAACCCAGTCTTCAGAATAAAGCGCCCCCTGCAATGGCGAAGGAGGAAAGGACGGGAAGTTCTTTCCTCCACCTCCCGCTAAAGAGAATGTGCTGTAAAAATGGAATCCATATATGTATATGAGTATATGAACATACATACATATATGGAGACAGAGAGAGAGAGAGAGAGAGAGAGAGAGAGAGAGAGAGAGAGAGAGAGAGAGAGAGAGAAGGAGAGCAGTGTTGGTAAACTTTGGGTATGGAGTAGTGCATACGCTGTTAGATACAAGTGATGTGTTGCTTGGTTTTGCTGAACAGCTTTCCCCTCCCTCGCTCCTTAATCCTTTGCTTTAATCTTTGATGGCTGTGTAAAGATGGGAGATCAATATATTCTGAATTGAATATAATGTAAAAACAAAAGATATCAATAAAATAATTGTTTAAATACTAAAATGTGGGGAGAGGAGGGAAGAATAAAAAGCCTTGGCCCAAAGTTAGCAATACTCATAGCTGACATTTTAATATAACATTAGGGTCTTCTATATACTATTATCTTATTTGATCCTCACAAAAACCTGAGAAATAGGACCTCCCTTTTATTGGTGCAGAAGCTAAGGCTCACAGAAATTAAGTCACTTTGTCCTTGTCAAAGATGTTGTTTGACCCCAATCTCCTGAATACAGAGTAAACATAGTTAAAATCAAGAAGGTTGGAGTCTGATTGCCTGACCTCCTAGTCTATGGTTTATTTGTGAGTTGTTTGTTTTTTTTAATGAATATTGAGTCAGGAGACATTGGTTCAAATCCTGTTTCTGATGTCTTTTAGCCATGTGACTGAATAAGTTACTTAACTTCTGTGAGCCTCACTTTCCTCACCTGTAAAAGGTGGGTGTTGGACTAGAAGGCCTGAGGTCCAATCCAGCACTCCATCTGTAGTCTATGGTCCTATGATCTTTCTTCTTCCTCATCTCCTTTGCTTTAAAAGATCAAGCTAAAGTATAGTTATAATTAGATACATGTCAATTTGTAGAAAAGTCTCAATGGAGTGCTCAAGATCTATCTTTGACTACTATTTCATATTTTTATCAATGGAAGGCATGGAATGCGTACTTATTAAATG